GGTTTTCCTTAATCTGTCCTGTCCCTGTGTCAATGTAGGCAGAATGACTTAGTCTAGTGAAGCTACATTTACCTTCTTCTTGACTTGAAGCTTCTGAGCTGTCTTCTTTTAAATGTTCTAATATCTTAGAAGTCTTCAGAGAGGATTGTAAGTTATCTGCAGGAAATAATTCAATACTACTAACTCTGGGAAAATTATATAGTGAGATAAAGAAAATAAATATAATGATTATCCCTCTGCCCCAAGGAAGAGGAAAATTAAGGGTTATTGGTGGAGAGAATGTGTCTCCTAGAAAGAACCTTTCAGCAATGGATTATTTGAGTGGAGAGATGGACCCAACTGTTCCCTTAAGTACCACCTGACCTGAAGGAATCACCCCACCTATCAGTCTCATGTGCTCATGTGCTAAAGGAGCAAATGAGCAGCAACTTGAAAGCACCTGTATTAAGTATAGTGTTTTGATTTTTAAAGAATCTCCATTTTGCTGTACAGTAACTTACAAAACCCAGCAACAACACCGTGGCAATGTCAAACTGCTACAAAACTCTGAATTTCTGTTTTTCTGTTACAGAGCAGTGACAAACTGTGGATCAGCACTGACCCATGGAACACATTCTGATATCAGTGGATTCCAGACTTGGGACATCTTAAGTCATTTAAGAATTTAACAGTTTGCTCAGTTAGTTGTCAGCACATGGGAGTGTTGTTCTCTGCTCCAGAAAAGCAAAAAGGTAGAGTTATTAAAAAAAAAAAAAAAAAAAAAAAAAAAAAAAAAAAAAAAAAAAAAAGTGCAAAGGAAACTTGCTAACAATGTGTTCTTTGTTAAAACAACTCAGACTTGTGCAAACTGCTGACAAGTTTCCCAACAATCCAAACTCTGTACGTTCAACAGTATTTTAAATTTGCAATCCTTAAATAAAATCTGCCAAGCTCCTTAGTATTACCCGTGAATTCAAAATTGCCAAGCTCTTAAGAGGTTCTTTCCCTTATGTATATGCATACTCCTCGTGTGGGTTGAGCTTTCCTGGGCAGCCTGATAATCTGGGATAGAAGTTTAACCTTGTGTTTCAATGGCTTTTTAGAATGGAGCAGATGCTACTAACAAATATTATTTAAAAAGAACTTGACTCAGAGAGAGAGTGTTGACTAATAAGAAGTCTACATAGTTCTAGAATGACCATGACTTTAACAAGCTATTACCACCTTCTGACATAAATTCAACCATGGACTTGTACATCTTATCTCAACCGGTCATACAGTTAACTATACTGCTAACTATCTTCAAAATATTTAAGGTATACACACGTACGCATATGTACACACATGTGTAGCGCTTGAGCAGTTAGTGAAACTCGTAAAGTTAATTCATACTGCGTATTCAATCATGGTTTTTCATCTCTCTTTCTCCCACCTGCAACTGAGGAAGCATGCATTTTCTTTTTCCTTCAATTGTAGAAAAATGACAGTTGAAAGCAGAAGGAAAAGATTTAAAGACAAAAAAAAATGTTCCTCAAAACAGTGGCTGTGCTTAAAGTGGGTAGAAATTCTCTAAGGTGCACATCAGCATTATTGGTATTTTTTTAAAAGGAAGGTTGAGGACAATTTGAATAAAAATTGACATAAGGCAGGTATAATGAGCACTGAAACAGGAGGGCAAAACAACACACAGAAACAGGAAAGGACTGGGAAACTTTCTGAGGAGGTGACATTTAAGGTGGGTCTTAAAAACGGGTGTGATTTTTAATGGGTAGCGATAAACAATGGATTCTTAAGAAAGAGCACGAATGAGCAGAGACACTGGGACAAGAAGCCACAGTGTAAGTTCTAAGAGAGCTGAGCCTTCAGGTAGCTAGAGCCAAAGAGCTCAAAGGGAGAAAGCTTAAGGACTGTCACAGAAGGGCTTGATTTCTTTCCACACTTTTAAAGGTTTTATCAGGGGAACTAACAATTAAACTTATCCCCATGACAGTCTGGGAAAAGGCAGAATAAGAACGAGAGTATACATAAACCATAGGGCTTTGCAGACAAACATTCCACAAACAAAACAAGGTCTATCTGAAACAAGAGAATGGCTGGGAAGGGGTAAAAAGGATAGCATCCTTTGTCCAGCATAGGTTGGTCTTTAAATGCTGAAAATGCAGAGGGAAAGCTAGATGAACAAGGGTAAGGAAGGCGAGCACAGGAATGGTGCTGCAGGAAAGGCAGACTCCATCATACCCTGCCAGAGCACCACCAGCCTCTCCACTCAACACACCAGCTCTGCCAAGGAATTCAAGGCTCAAGCCCACTCTGGAGACTGAAATTCTCAAACTTTGTTTCATGATCAGTCTGCTTTGTTCTATTAACCCTTTATTATACTATTTATATATTATTCTCTTCAAAGGTACAATGTGAAGTTCATTAGAGGCCAAATATTTCTGAAATGTATGTCACTATTCCTTAACTTTTAACTAAAATTCCTCAAGTTTGAACTATAAGATGACACGAGGTGAGACAAGAAAATCAAGCAAAAACAAAATACCCCCAACCAAAACCAAACCAAACCAACAAAAACACTCCCCTCCAGATTTCCACAGAGGACACTTACTCAGACTGTGTAGAGAATCTGAAGATAGTGAATGAAAAAAGCTGCGCACTTTCTGACTCTGTAGAAAAGCTTGGGATGAAGTGGAAAATAGCTGCCTAAATAAGAAAAAGAGCGATGTTAACTTCTGGCATACGCATCTAGAGTCTCAGTTTAGATTACAAAGCCAACTTCGGTGGCTGTTTCATTAAAGTATAGGGGGGAAAAAGGAACTTTTCTCCTAAGAAAATATTTTGTAATGTATTTCCTATAGTAGTAAAATTTAATAAAACTTATTTGTAAGCATCTACTAAACAGGTTTATTTTTCATGGACAGGTTTCATTCTGAGCAAAAAAAAAAAGATTATTTCAGGTGTTTGTGCAGATGGTCCAAAAGCTGCCTTCCTACTCAGAAAAAGACCTGCAATGCCCTCACTCTTCATGGGTGTTATTTTTAGGGGTCTTCTCATACTCTGAATTGAAGAGGGTGCAAAGTTTGGGATGTTAGGAGTTCTGGAAAATACAGAAGACCGTTAGTGACATGGTTAACATATACTGTTATATATAAAGTATCACCACATTCTAAGGTGACTACTTCATGATCCATGTTGAATCTGCATCGTACTATGATTCTAACTTATCTTGGGAAACCTGGTTTCCTCATATGTTACTAACGTAACAAGATTCCAGTGGGAATGCTGCACATACTAGGCAAGAACTTTACCACTGAGCTGTCTCTCCAGCTTTTTACTTTTCTTCTTTTTTTCTATTATTTTTTTAAAACAGGATTTTACAAGTTGTGCCCAGGATTACCTTGAGTTCTTTCTAAAGCCCAGGCTGGCCTTAATACTCCTGACTTAGCCCTGGACACACTAGGTGATTACAGGCCTATGCTACCAGGCCCAGCTCCTCTTGCTTTATTTAGACTCTGTTCTGATTCTTAGAAATTTATTTTTAAAGAAAAAAAATTATTCTAGGTACATCTTTGAGACAGGGTCTCATGTTGCCCATGCTGGTCTTGAATGCCTGGGCTCAAGTGATTTTCCTGCCTCAGACTCCAAGGAGGGAGAACCATGGGCACACATCATTATATCCAGCTTTTTTTTTTCTTTTTTTTTTAAATGTAAGAAATGGCAATTTCAAATTAATTTTTCCTACATTGCTATTGTGCTATACCCAACATTTAACTAACAACCTGAGAATGACCTTCTAATCTTAGAGATAGGTGGGAACATAAAGACAAAGACTGATATACCTAATATCTGAAGTTTTATGATCATAGCTAATTGAAAAATATTACAATTCAAAGGACAAATTGTTAATCAATTCACATTTCATTTAAAAAGCTAAGAAAGCCATGGAAATCGAAATAGATAATGGATAAAGGACACATGATCTCATAAAATATGTAAATAGCAAACCTTATAGAAAGACTGAGAGAAAGCAAGCAAATACTAAGTCAGTGAGACAAATCACCTATCTAATCAGCCAGTGTTCTTACAGCTGGTGGGGCTCTGGGCATACACTGCTTTGCACATGAGGAGTGTGTTCTTTTAGGTAGTAAATTGACTTCAGAGAGTCTTTCCTCAGCAATTAATCATAAATCTGGAAATGTTTTAAGTACAAAAAAATGGTCTATTCTCAACAGAGAAACATTAAAGGACTACAAAGCCAGATAGGATAGATTTTGCAGCCACTCAAATTGCCTCAAAGCTGGATATGGTGGTGCACACCAGTAATCCCAGCACTTGGAAGCAGAGGCAGCAGGACTGCTGTGAGTTTGAGGCCATTTTGGTCTACATGGTAAGTTCCAGGTCAGCCAGGACCACACTGTGAGATCCTATCACAAAAACAAAACAAAATCTTTTAACTTTATTTATCTATCATGTTATGTGTATGAGTGTTTTGCCTACAGAGGCCAGGGGAGGGTGTTGGATTCAGAAAAGAGCACTGGATCCCCTGGAACTGGAGTTATAGATGGTTGTTAGCTGCCACATGGCTGCTGGGAACTAAACCTGAATACTCTGCAAGAGCAGCCAGTGCTCTTAACTGCTGAGCCATCACTCTAACCCCCCATAAAACAAAAGCTTTTAAAGAACTAAATATAAAATGCCTGTAATTTGAGAAGAACTTAACTGCTGATCCATTATCATAGGCAAAGGAAAAAAAAAAAATCATCAGGGCAAGAACGACCTTTTTTTTCCTCTTCTGCATTTCCTCATGTTCTTTATTGAGCATTTGTTAATTTATCATGAAAGCTTCAGACTACCCCAATTGAGAATCACCTTCTATCAAGCACTATGCAAAAAACATCAAATAAAGCTTGTTAAGTTGCATCTGTCTTCACTGAGCACAGCAAGGGAGCTCTGTGCCCACTACTGGTCAGTACATGTGGCCTGGGTAGGATCAAAGCACACACAGAAGCCAGTATGGCCAGGGCAACCATGCACATTGGCCTGCTGTCTGTGAAAGTCACATTCTGTTGTCTTCATGCACCAGAGCCGCCATCTAGTTCCCTCATGCCCATTCCCAGGGAGGGCCTAAGCTTATGCTACCAGATACTCCCCTCCCAACAGCTCAGCTCAAAACTCCCTCTTTGGTCACTTCTGGATGCAGGTCTCTGAGTGCTTGCCAGCTACTGAGGCCCTCTGTGGACCATCAGGCATCTCTTGGTGCTTGCTGGAATCACAATTCCTTGTTATGGAATTCCAGACTATGGAATAAGAAACTACACTTTTACTTTTAACTCACTTTATTTTTTATGTTAGAAGCAACTGAACTTCATGCTGTTAGAGAATAGATGAGAACAATGACAAATAAGGTCACTGTCTCTGAGTTAGCCTAGACCTAAACAGCATAGTTTACAAAGCTCTCCAGAGAAAAGCTCTCTGACCTCCCTGTACAGCTGGTCTCATGCACCTGCAGCCACAAGCAGGTAGGCTATTACCTTAGGATGGGCTCCAGGTCAGGGTGTCGCCGTTCCTCCCTTTTTAAGGATCCCTGATTCAGGGCTCTTAAGATGGTCTTGTCAAAAGTCTCTGAAGACAATTCCTTTGGAAGCTAGAAGAGAAAAACATAATACACAATATTGAGTTTTTCACTTGTTGACAAACATGTTAATATATCAGATACAAAAAATGAAAGCAAATGCCTCTTCCTTTTTAACCATCCAAAAGCAGCTCTTTCCCAAACCTTCGCCACATAGGACCCCACACTGAAAGTGGTAGAGGACTGGTCCTCTAGAAAACAGGATCTCCTGTGGCTTGTTGAGGGGTATGGGAAACTTGAGTACTTAGCATGCCTCTGGGGTACATCCATGTGGACCTCACATTCAATTCAACCCATACTAAGCTTCAAGTTAAACTGAACATTTTGCATAGCACAGCTGGTATTTTGATCCTGGAATAGTGTTCTGAAAGGTGTTATCTCTGCCTCTATAGTTAACATTTTTCTGTATCCTGTTTTCACATTTTCATCTCAGGCAATGTTAGACAATTGGTAACTGCTACACACTAAATAAAGAACCAAGTTACAAAAGCTAGGTCAAATTCTCTCAATTTTATTTACATCAAAAACATTTATCAGGATCAATGAGATGGCTCAGTAGGTAAAGGCGTTTGCTGCTCAGGCCTAAAGACTTGAGGTTTGAGTCCTAGAACCCATGTAAGGTGGAAAGGAAGAACTGACTCTACAAGTTGTCCTTTGATCTCCATATACATGCCATAGCATGCAAACCCCCAAATAAATAAGATTAAAACAAAAAATAACACACTCCTAAGAGGTTTCCCTTAATGTGATGGAAGTGTTCTATAAACAATGTGCTAGAATCTGCAAAAAAGCATCATTTGACCAAGAAAAAAAATTTAAATAAAACCAAAATTTTGTTATTTAACTTGTTTACTAAAAAAAAAAAAAAAAAAATCCTTGAAGATGAATTCTAAAACTAACTTTACAAGTTTTTGAAGAATCCAGTTTTAAGTTTGGCTTTGCACTTAACTCCTGAATTACTGGTAGTTTCACTAAAATCAAGAATAATTTAAATTAAAAGTAGAACCATTAACATGCTAAGGTACCACAGGAATACAAAGATCTATATAGGCTGGTTCACATGCTGAGTTTCAATCTGAGTAATCCAAAGTAGGTGAGTTTTTGGAAAACACTCTGTGTCAACAACTGAGAAGTACAAACAGCGAAGGCAGCGGCAGCAGCATTACCCCTGGGGAGCACAGTGGCAGTGCTGCCGAGACACCGTACCAGAACCTGCTAATTCACCGGGGGAGCTCAAAAAGCTCTGACAGCATGTGCACAGTCAACTATGGAAGTCATGTTCTCCTCTGACTACTAGCTGGAAGAAACAAATTCTAGTCTAGATTGACACAATTTCCAAATAAACATTATTAACTTCAATATCTACACTTTGATATTAGCATTTTAAAAAATCTTTTATTTTTATTTTATGTGTATGAGTGTACTGCCTGCATGTATGTGAGTGCACTCATGTCATGTAATGCCGTGGAGGTCAGAAGAGGGCTTCGGATTCCCTTGGAACTGGAGTTAAGGATGGTTCGTGGCCACCATGTGGGTGCTGGGAATCGAACCCTGGTCCTCCACAAGAGCACAGTGCTCTTGACCACTGAGCCATCTCTCCAGACCCTAGCATCTTAATAAACATTTATAACACTGGAAATTTATCACTAATTTTAAACATAATTTTTCTTTGTGTAGTGTGTGCATGTGGTATATATGCATGCACAAGTGTGATGCAGGTGTGTGTGCGCACTTGTGGAGGCCAGAGTTTGGCATCAGTTTCTTCTGCTACCTCTACCTTAACTTTTGAGACAGGGTCTCTCACTGAACCCAGAGCTCACTGATGGGCTACTACACTTAGGGATCTGCCTGCCGTATCCCTTCACCCCCCACCCCCCCGGCACCCTAACACTAGGGCTGCTATGCTTAAGCGCATCCAGCCTTTATGTGGAAACTGGGGATCTCAGAATCTCATCATTATGCAGCAAGCACTTACCAACTAAGCCATCTCCCCAGAACCATGATTTCTACTGAATGTGTACACTGACAAAGAAAACCAGTTAGCAAAGAAGTCTATTTCAATTTCCAAATCACTGATAGTTGCTTTAAACACTGAAGGCAATAGCATACAAATTTTCACCAAGTTAATGACACTGTTCCCATTACTGGGCAGAGTGTGGGCATGTAGTAATCAGTATTTCCAATCTAGTTTATATTTTCATGTGGTTTTTATCTCTAATGTTCAGGGCCTACTCAGAAAGGAAGTATATCTGCTAAAAATACAGCTTTAAACCATGCCTTTAACATTCTAGTCCTTTGGAATTTTCTTAGTTGTAAGAGATTCAGCCTCCCATCTCTGGCGCCTCAGGGGTACAATCTCAAGAGTAATGAAAGGGTTCTGCACTTAGATGTAAGTTTATCTTTAAAAACATCAAACCCTGCTGGGGGTGGTGGCGCACGCCTTTAATCCCAGCACTCAGGAGGCAAAAGCAGATGGATCTCTGTGAGTTCAAGGCCAGCCTGGTCTACATAGTGAGTTCCAGGACAGCTAGGGCTACAGGGAGACCCTGTC